CAAAGCTGAAATAGTTTTTCAATTCTATTTCAGGCTGTTTTCAAAGAAAAATAAAAAATAATTTTACCGCATTTGCTCATAAATAGATTTATCGATGTTAAAAAAAATCATGTTCATTGATGTATAAGAAGAATTTATTGTCATCAAAATGAAGGTGTAGGCCTGTCCGAGCCTCGATACCCTGGATCTTGATTACGTGATAATGCTCATGGTTTCTGCAGAGCAGGCTATGCTGCAAACCGCAGTGCAAAATTAAAAAAAAATATCTTCATGATCTTTGTGTCATTTGTAGATGTAGAGCAAATTCAAAAAACAATTTTTACTAGAAGTTGAAAAACTCCTCATTTCTTTATTCACCATGCACTTTAACCACATCATCATTATCCGGAAAATCAAGAGATTTCTTTTCAAATCTCACACATTCTCAGGCTGGGGAGTATCTGATGTAAACTCTTTTTATATGACCATAAATTATCGATGATCATGAGATATTAATGACAATGAAATTGAAATATATTTCAACATTTAATATTAAGTTTAAGCAAGTTTTTAAAATATTTTACGCATGATTTTTACTTGTTATAATTTACGAATTATTTAATTGAAGTAATAAAAAAACGTCTCATTTCCCCATGTGCACTCTCTAACACAATCACATAAAGATTGGCCGCTACCGCAGCCGATAACAATTACATGTTTCATATGTATGAACTTTTACATAGAAGAGCGGCTAAATATATACATCCAGAGCTTTCAGAATACGATTTTACAAAATTAGAAAATTCGTTATTGCCTATTTATCATAAAATATAAATTAAATTCTTTCCTTAATTATTGAATTCCTATGTATTTAACTAGGTACTTAAATTATCGATTCGCTCTGATATTTGGTTGTATAATGATTACAATGTATATAAACGTCCATCTGGTCAGTCATTGTTGCTTGACGACGTCTTGTTTTCTCCTCTCACATTGGTAGCGGGTATGAACAGCAGTATGAACACAAGCTTGTAAACAAAATAAACGGCAATTCACAAAAAAGGAAAACCAGAAAAAAAATGTCTGTGTAGGTGAAAAACACAACTCATTAATTTGTTTTTGAACGACCCCATACGTTTTTTTCTTTCTCCCATGCATTTCAACTATACGGAAAAAGATCACTAGAACCTTTGGTTATATTAAAAGAAAGGTGTTGGACCTTCAAACGGCACTATATCCGAACAGCTATTATACAGCCTATCAAATACATCACGGCATCAATAAAAGAATTATTTAGATATTTCAAAAAATACTAATTTCATTCTAAGAAAAGCCACGCAGCTGTATACAGACATTCCAAAATAATGTTTCATGGACCGACAGGTTGTTAAATTCCTCTCATCACTATAAGTACCCCATCCCTTAAAATGAAAACAATGTCTTTCTTCTAAGCAGAGAATGTCAGTCGGTTGATTTGTTTTTGTACATGCATATATACATGTAGTTTAGGGCTTGAATTCCGAGACTGAAAGTTACGACCTATTTTTATGTAAACCAATAATCATACATGACATGTAAATCCCTGCCATGAATATGGCCAAGGCATTTGGTGTTTGTCGGACGTCTTCCATCCTTCCTACTTTCTGTCCTTCCTTCTCTCCTTCTGTCACACTTTGCCTTTAGCTCAGTTTAAAGCTCAGTTTCAAACAACTATCCACGATATTTTTATCAATCTTTATATACTGATAGTAATTAATTAGAGTTATGCAATTGTATTAACATTTTTTTAAACTTGACTTTATATACATGTACAGCTCAACAAACTTTTTAAGCTCACATGGTTTTTCGCACAAATTAAGGTCACATTGTTGTAATATAAAATTCTGTATAGGGACAACAAAATACATTTTAAAAGTAGTGTTAACCTAATTTGAGATTTATTTCATTAACTGCAACATAATTCACACAAATCAATTTGTAGAACTTTGATATATTCATGGCTGAAAAAAAAACAACTATTCTCATTTGAATTTTTGTATCTTCTTGCCAATTGTAACTGTCTTTTTATCCGTTCTTTTGAAAGCAATAGCTCTTCGCAGAAACGTAGACATGGGTACAGTACAGCTACTGTAACTTGTATTTTCTGTACATTTTGACTCTTTAACTCGGGGTGGTAATAGTATTTTTCATCTGTTTGACTGCTTTCTATGTTAATCAGGTGGGATTTTTAAGCGCCAACTTCTAAAATCTAGAATCATGAAAGATTAATCCCACTGCAAAATTTTAACGTTTCAAACCGTAAATGTTAAGAATTTTCCTTTTCATAGAAGGATTTTACTATTTAAAAAATTAAACAATACTTCATTATCCTACCCTTTAGTGTGGTTTCCTTTTGCAATATTATCCATTTTCGGCGCTGTATTTCGACGAAACCAAGAGGAGTATGGTAAATGAGCAAAGCGTTTTAAAAAATACTCACCTTTAGGAAGAAAATTTGAAAATTTCAACGACATGGAATCAAGGAAAGTTCGTTTATACAATTTGTAAAAACCCATTGTAGAATCGTATAGTCGAAACATCCTACCATTTATTTATAAATTTTCCTTTAAAACATCCACTTTTGAAACTTAAGATTATAATTTTAAAAGACATTTACCCTAGACATTATATATGTGATATAAAGAAGGGTTATGCCATTGTACTGCAGTTCGAAAATAGTAATGTTTATTACAATAATGTGTCCTTAATTTGTGCGAAAAACCATGTGAGCTTAAAAAGTTTGTTGAGCTGTATATACCTCACTTTTCTTAAATTAGTGTTTAGCTCAGTTTTAAACATACCATTCAAAATGGTGTTATCAAACTTCACATGTTGATGCATACTGATGAGAGCTATTTAATGCATCACCATTTTTGAACTTGGCCTTTCTTTTGACCTTGACCTAACTCTATTTATCTCAATTTTAGCTCTAACGAGAGTTAGTTATTGCTTAGCACAAGGTCATTTGGAAAGATCAAGGTCACACGTACTAGTATTCCTTTACAGTCTTTTTCCTAGCGAAACATTGTAAGTTGCTTCTCTTACAAGGTTTTTTACTTGTATATCTTTAGTATGTGGCTTTTGACCTCGACTCAAGGTTACGTCTTCTAGTCCGTAGCTCCAACGGAAGACCTATTCGTTGCTTTGCAACGAGCTCGGCTCTAGTTATTATTATTATTCTTTTTTCTTCTTATTTCTTCTCCGGTACTTTTTTGTCCGGAAGTGTTTTCAGAAACTGTTCACCAAACTAAGTTAAAACCTTTTTAGGGTTAATAGGTATGTTGTGTAGATGTGCGGAACGAAGGTCATTTTGCACGCATACGCATGCACGTGCGGGCGCATGCAATGAGTAAAATGACTGATATATTTAATATGGTTGTAACTTTTATAATTTTTGATGAAATGTTTTGAAACTCATTATATAAAGATATATAAGTAGTGTAGATAAGATGACATGGTCAAATTTGCATGAACTCACGTGCATGCACGTGCGCTTTGCTCTGATTGGCTGAAACAGAAATCTTAATATCTTTTTTGTTTTATGATGAAATGCTTTGAAATTTATAACATAGACATGCATCAGGATGTACTACAATATGATATATAAAATTTTTCATGAAATCACGCGCATGCACGTGCGCTGCAATCTGATTGGCTGAAACTTGAAATGACCATAACTCCCTTGGTTTTCAACCAAACAGCATGGGATTTAGAACATAGATAGACATAAAGGACTCCTACAAGATGGTATGGTCAACATTCACATGCATGCACGTGCGTGCATGTGCGCTTTGCTCTGATTGGCTGAAACAAAAATCTCAATATCTTTTCTGTATTTTTACAAAATGCTTTGAAATTTAAAACATAGGCATACTTTAAGATGTCCTACAATTTGATTTATAATAATTGTCATGAAAACACGCGCATGCACGTGCGCTGCAATCTGATTGGCTTAAACTTTAAATGGCTATAACTCCCTTGTTTTTCAACCAAACAGGATGGAATTAAGAACATAGACAGACATAATTGACTCCTGCAAGAAGGTATGGTCATCATGCACGTGTGTGCACGTGCAATGAGTAAAATAGTGTAGACAAGATGATATCGTCATTACTCTCATGCAATCACATGCGCAAGCCTGCATTGCTTAAATTTGAAATACTTGGAATACTTTTGGGAAAACGTTGTTTACGTCTTAAATGCATAGATTTTGCCTTCTTTAATGAAACTTACAGGGAATATGGCACGAAAAGGGAGTTGGGGAGCGTTTGGGGAACATCTGTAACGGTTCCCGTTACAATTAGCACTAGTTGATAATTGTCTTTAACATCCTTCAATCAAGCGTCATATAAAAAAGCGTTTTAATGACCCTACGAAATCAGTTCATCTAACGATCTGTATGTAATTAGTTTGAAACTTTGTTGTACATATTAATCTAAGGTTCCTTAGAATAATATAACTGTTTTCAAATAAAATTTGTCTATTTTCTCCTTGTGTCAATTGTATAAATTAAGTTTATATATTTTATAAAATTCTCTCAATCATTAATCGTCACTGTGGCGTAATCAATAAGGCATCGGACTGACAATCTCATGGTCGTGAGTTCGATCCCCGGCGTGTGCACTGTAGAATTTTATTCAGTAAATAAAGCCGTGCACTATTTCGGCATAGTATGTTTACGCTATATAAATCCTTAGACCACTATGCGAGAAAAATAGGGTATGGGTTACATAGAGACACACTGACAGGAAGCATAATAATACATGTTATGATTTATTAACTGAATTATGACTTACAGCTGACTGTATGGCGTTTAGTTTACTGCTGGCTGTATTATTACATGTTATGACTTATTAACTGAATTATGACTTACAGCTGACTGTATGGCGTTCAGTTTACTGCTGGCTGTATTATTACATGTTATGACTTATTAACTGAATTATGACTTACAGCTGACTGTATGGCGTTTAGTTTACTGCTGGCTGTATTATTACATGTTATGACTTATTAACTGAGTTATAACTTACAGCTGACTGTATGGCGTTTAGTTTACTGCTGGCTGTATTATAGGCCTCTTGTGCTGCATTCAGGACTTTGTTACTTTTTGTTGATTTGCTGTTTCTCGCATCATCTACTATCGCCTTCAGTTTGTCCATTTCTGATCTACAAATGAAACACAGAGTTATGGTTCTTTGTCTTATATATTACTGAATTAATCTATGTGTGCTTGCATGTCACATCTAACTCCAATGTCATATAAACCATGGAGTCAATTAAACCTATTTGAAATTAATTATTTAATAATTCTAGGCATCTGACTTTAATATTACTAGTATACACATTGGTTTTCTTTTTCCTCTTCAAGTCTGATAAAAAAAAGTAAGTAGTAAGTAGTTAATGACTTCCAAACAAAACTTTGCTGACTGTACATGTACCATAACCATTATCTTTAGATAGATATAAATGAATTTTTTTAGGGCTGGGATGATACAACTTTTTCTATATCAATACGTATCACGATATTTAAGCCACGATACGATATGTATCATGATATGTTAAATTGCTTATAAAATCTTTTTTGCATTGAAATAAACAAATTATTTCTTTGCAAATACGAAAATTTATTCAAAATAGTTGTTTATATGTTGTAAAACAAAAATATTTTACTCAAATGGTGTTAATTATTATTCATTTCATATCTATATATTTATATTTAACTTATTTATTTTATATATTAAACCCCAAATGTTAAATAAACAAAGAAAAATAGAAGTCAGATTTTCATGGGCGATATTTCGATATTTCTTCATTTGTATCGATATGCGTATCATATTCACATATATCACGATATATCGATATCTCGATATATCGTCCCAGCCCTAAATTTTTTCCCACCTGAGTGACTCCATGACTTTTTTGGCGTTATCTGTGACCCCCTCTCTTTTCTGGAAAGCCTCAGACACGGCCTGCCACTGCCCCTCCTTGTTCAGGATCTGACATAGATATTAATGGTCTCATCAAGATAATTGTAAATTCAAGCAACTTACAAATGCTAAAATGATTCATTGTTCTTTTTCTCTGACAGACTGTGACCCCACCCTTTCCTTCTCTTTGCATACACATGCTAAAAACATATTACATTTCATGGTGTATTCTATTTAGCGATTTTGGCGGTAAGCAGAGTCAGCTAAATGTCTTGTATATCATGCATTTATATCTAGCACATTCAGATAGCCCTGAATCAAACCTATGATAACTTGTTGAAAAATTAATTTCTGCCAAATAAGGTACATGCCAGATATAGTACTAAATTTGCAGTAACCAGGAACCGTAACTCTTACATCTGTTTTGTCGTCCATGGCTGTTTGTAGGGCTTCGGAGTGTTGTTTGACTGATTCTATAACATCCTTCTGTAGATCTGAGGCCTCCTGGAGCCTAGTTTTACAGGAATCCATCAAATCCTTCAGTTTGGACTCCAGGGCTGAAAATTCAAAAAAAAAACAAAGTAACCTCAGCATTGGACTATCTGTCAAATGGCTTGATCTGAGCCATAAAATTGTACAAGTGATTATTACATGTTCTTATCATCAGTACATGTAGAATTCCGACTTTTATCATTGCTGATTTGTCTCCCCTTAATATTTAAAGTATCATCTCTCTCTCTCATTATCAGCATCTTCAGCCCTTTCATTCTCTCTGTGTGCTCTATGTATCAAACCCCCTGACCTCTTCCCTCTATCTCTCCCCTCACCAGTTCTTCAGCTCTTTCTCTCCTTATTGCCAAAGATTTGCTCTATGTCTAACCCCTCTCTCTCTCTTTCTCTCTCTCTGTTTACCTGTGTTTTCAGCCTTTTCTTTCTCTCTCTGTTGCTGTAGTTTTCGTTCTATGTCTAACTTTTCCCTCTCTTTAGCAGAGAGGGATGGTTGAGCTGGGGCAGGACTTGGTGTCTCTGTAAGATTTTTTTTTTCATTTTAAAACATCTTCCACAGGCAAAAAATGAGAAATGAAAATAACAGAAATCTTTCAATCTTAAGGTTAATATTGGCTCTTTTCTGAAAGATTTCCTGAAATTTAACCTAAACATCATACTGAAAACAAATACTTGTATTAATACAACCTTAAACATTCTTTGCATAATGTAATACTAAGTCAAAATTGGGATCATCAAAGAACTTTTCTCCTTTTTTTAAATTTTCAAACAGAGGGTGCCCACTGTTAAGGGTTACATCTTTCTCTAGAGGACCCCCTTCCTACCTTTGACTGTGCTCTTCACAGGTTCTGCCTTTGGTTCTGATTTCTTCACTACTGCCTGAGGCTGTTAAAGAAAAAATGGCAACTTAATTAAATTTTTTTTATCATTTTTAATCAGGGGGAAAAACGTGGAATTTAATATATGCACAAAAATTCTAATAGGTATATTGTAAAGATATCTGGGGCATAATTGAGAAGAAACAATTAAAAAAAACTTTTTAGTTGCAAGACAATCTGCTTAACTTAAAATTCAGAATCCATATATGTAATCACTGTGTGGGGTGCTTTATATCCATTGGGGTGGGGCAATTTTTAATAAGTGTGGTAGGAGCAGTTTATATACACGTAGGTTTGGGGTTTGTTTTTCTACTCACTGAGATTGCAATGGATTTCACTCAGTAGGATGGGGTGTTGTTTATTTTTCACTAGGATAGAGGTAATTTTTACTCACTGGGGTGGGGTTATTCATATTGACTGAAATAAGGGGTTCCTTTTACTGACAGGGTTAGGGAAATTTATATTCACTAGGTTGGGGGGATTTTTTTACTCAGTAGGGGGGAGGGGGGTTGTATTATACTCACTGGAGTGGGGGTGATTTTAGTCAGCGGTTTTGGTTCTTCTTCAGTGGTTTTTCCTGAGCCAGACACGAGGCCCATTATGGGATCATAAACGTATTCTTGGAATGGACTATACACATTTTTCTCCATCACTTTCTTAAATTCTGGATCCACAAACTCACCATAGGCAGCAGCCCCACCTAATGCTGCAGTAGGCAACAGGACAAACCACCTGTAATCAAACAAAGCAACAGTTACATCATTCACTGCAGATCTAGAAAGAGGACTTCTTACAGGGAAATTTTCACACCCTTTTAATTTTGCCCTTTTTGCCTATTTGCAATTTAAATAGGCACAATTTAATTAAATGGGGCCATTTCAAAGGAAACAAAATTATGTCTAACATCATGAACATACATCTGTGTTGGGGAGAATTCAAAATGGTGCAAAATTATTTGCAGGTATAAGCATGATAAAAGGGGTGAAAATATCTTTATTCTTAATACTGCAAAATCCACCTAGAGATAAACAGCTATGACAGCAATGAAGAGGACTGTTGATCAAGTGTTTTCACATGCTCATTCACTTCAGCTAAGCAACATAAAAAAATATATTTGTGGGATAAAGTTTAATAAATTTGCAATTTATGATTCTTGCAGCTGAAATTAAATATGTTAAATAATCAGATATGTAATCTTAATTCTGCATGCAATTTTCTTCCCATTTTAAGCAAAGAGTTCAATGTTGATGACAGTTTCCACATTAAGTACAGAGTACAGTGTTTAACTACAGTGTACAGTTACTTACTTTAGGACTCCACCTTTCTGGGGAGGGGGGCCTGATGCCATACATCTTTGTTGTACTGGCTTCACTGCGCTGGAGGTCTGAAAGGAAAATGTCAAGGTTAACTGTATCATGGTTATCAACACCAATCTTAGCCCTGCTGCAAAGATGATGGGTTTCCGATTCGTAGAGAAACCCTTGGCTAGTGAAGATGCACTTTGAGTGGGACCCCTCTAGGAGGCTGAGAAGAAGGGAATGTCAGAAGGGTTGAGATTCATATGTCTCAAATAAGTCTAACCTATCAAGTCAATCGAGCCGACAAAATGAATATTCTGGAATCAGTGTGATGTCATCATCATACCAGGTCCAGTCCAAAGACTATTTCTACCTACGTAGGTATTAATAGCTACCTAGGTATTTAAAGCTACCAAAAGTAGCTATTTTTACCTACTTTATATAATTTCTGCATTTTGCGACCAAAAAACCAAACGTCGCAACATGGTGAATACCATATTTTTTGATACGGTCACACTAATGATGGATACGACAAAATTTTGGCCAAAAAATGATTACTTCCTGAATCGGCAATTTTACATTAGTTTCTACGCAAAATTGATAATATACGAAGTTTTCATTTTTTGGCTAAATTTTTGTCATATTCATCATCAGTGTGACTGAATCAAGAAATGGTGTTCTCACCATGTTGCGCCGTTCCTGCATTTGGCCACAAAATGAAAATAAAGCAGAAAGTAGGTAAAAATAGCTACTTTGGGTAGCTTTAAATACCTAGGTAGCTATTAATACCTACGTAGGTAGAAATAGTCTTTGGACTGGACCTGCATACTGTTGCAAATATTGTCTTAGCCATTCATAGAAGGCAGCTAAAGCAAAGCCTTACTTTAGGATCAAATAAGTTTTTATGCAAATAATACAAAGTACAAAGCCATAAATAATTTGACTTTCATTTTGCTCTTGACAAGAGCAAAATGAAAGTTCATACCCAATGACAATTTCAAGATTTCATGGTTTCCAATCAAAGTGTAAAACATTTCGCCATCGAGTTTGCAATTTTAAGAAATGATAACGATACCTTGATCCGCGGGGTGACACCCCTCGCTGCTGCCCGCCACATCTTCTTACACCGAGAACCAAATTTTTATTTGTCCAGACAGCGCGACACCGGTCTTTCCTCACGTCCAAGGACAAAATTAATTTGTGAACGTCGATCCCGATAAAATAAGAAATAATTTCGGAAAATCATTTTTCATAATTTTAATTACTTTTATATAGTGAATTTTATTTTTTTCCCCTTTTAGTCCAATTCTCTCTAGTGTTATTTTCGTAATTTTTGATCAGATATATTTCGTTTTTATGAGTCGGGATCTGAAAGAAATAGAAAATGGCTGCCTCCATGATCAGGAATTTTTCCAAGGGTAAATGTTCAGTTTTATCCCAAAACTTGTACACAATCCGTATATCTATTTTTTTTAATTCATGTTATTTTATTTGGTTTTGTAAGATCACAACAGAACACCTTGCAATAGAGATAATTCAGGTTTTAATTTTCTGGATTTTTTTTAGTGTCACTATTTACAATAATTGCCAAATGATTGTAATGAATGCAACTGCTGATTGCTTGTTTATATAGATGAATATAGAGCATATGCAAATATACTGTAAAAAACTTTATGACCCAATTGAACCACCCAAATCAATATGTTTATATATGTGATACCGTGTCTGACCACCACATTCCTTCCTCTTGACAGTAAAGTTCTTTGGCTCCAAAGACACACATACATGCCAACTTTTGAAAATTCCCATGGGGGATTTTGCGCGTGACGACAATTTTCAAAGCTTTAAATTCACGACATTTTGTCGTGAACCTGAATCTAATTGTGTTTTCACTGATATCTATATCATTATTTATTATACATAATACATGTTCCTCATTTGAACATTTTTCTTCTGATTTCTTTCATATCATTCAATGCACCTACCAACATAAGTCTGAATCTGATTCAGCAACCAAAACAATGTATAGTTTCAACAATTTAATAACAAATTTAAGAAAAATACAGTGGCACATGATACATGAAAACAATATTGCATTGTTAAAATCTGGTTACTAAAATAGCTACTATTATAATTCAAGCAAATAAAATGTTACAAACTAAAAGAACATCATGTAGTTATTACTATTAAAATTCAGGTAAGAATAGGTAAAACAGAAGTTTCAATCACAGTCAAGATACAAACAATAAAACACTTATTAATCACCACTAAGAAACACAGTCTTTGTTATAAGACAAGCAGGCCTTTTTTGCTGACTGGAGCAATTCTTTGGAAGGTTTCACAAGGTTACAATGCTGAATGTTGTTAACTTTGGTGGTAAGCAGAGCACAGATGGTTTTGTTATCCAAATTAGCACGGGTCTCTGTCTGTATTTTCTTTACCATTGAGAATACTCTCTCACATTCAGCATTGGAGTTGGGCACAGTAAGCATGGCTTTCACTACTTTCCCCATAACTGGGAACCTTGGAGTCTTGGTAATGTTATTTCTCATTTCGTCCTCCCGCATGAGAATTTGGATGCAATTCTGCTGTCAGGGAACATCGTTTTACAAAGCTTGGTAAAGCAGTCTGCGACAAGAAACGGGAGGTTATGCTGTGCCACAAAATTGGCAAACAAAACCTCGGCACGTATCACATCTACAACATTGAACAAAGAATTTAGATTTTTTTTTAAAAATAAAATTAATTCAAAGTTAATGCATGTAAATTGTTCATTATCACAGAGATAATATATCTGTCAACTTACCCTCATCTTGGTCGAGTTTTGAACTGGTGAAGAAGTTTCTGGCAGACGGTGTCGAATTCTGCGACTTCAAAGTATTTTGGTGCAGGGCTGTGTTCATATGCTTTGTCACGTCATTCAGTGCACCATGGTCAACCCTGAAGTCTCTGTTGCACACTCTGCAGTATGCATGAGCCTGTCCTTGTTTTGACTTCGCCAACCATCCGGTGAATCTTGCGTCAGCCTCCCATTTTTCCCGGTAGGCCTATTTCGCTGCTGATCTACTCTTTTTTCGTGGTGGAGTTGCACCCATGGTGAATCGATATGCGAGATTCCCGATTGATCTCCACCATACCCCAGAATAGCATTAATTGTTATCAAAACATGATACATGCTCATAATTGACTGAGTAATCGTCACACTACACACAGGTAGGTATCCTCGATATGTAAATTACACGCGACCTAAGCGTGATGAATTCGGGAAATTTCATTGGTTGATAATACGAGAGGTTAACGAGATTTCACAATTGTCCCGATTTCAAACTCGGGTCAATTCGGAAATCAGAAATTTTGGTCGAAAAATGGTCAAATCGGGATTTAGGGGTAATTTTGCTTTCACGATCGTGATAGCGGGATGGCTGGGTAAAATCGGGAGAATCCCGCCTAAATTGGGAAAGTTGGCATGTATGGACACACAGTCACACACCCAGGTTATGTGTCATGTAATGACAAAGGAAAGAAATGTGATAGGTCAGACCAGGATTTGAACCCGGGTTCCCTGAATCTTCCAGTCAAGTGCTCTACCAACTGAGTTATCTGGCTATATACCTGTGATCAAACTCGATCTGAAAGGTCTTTAACTTCAAAGACACAAATCCAGGCTCAATATTCCCTGGAGGGTTTTCCACCTGTTCTACCAGGGCATGGCACAACATCAAATGTAATGTGAGAAGAGAGAAATGTGATGGATAAGATGGGGTTCAAATCCTTGTCTGTTGTATGTTTCTCCTCTCTTGTTACACATGTATATTAATATAATGTCTGTCTGTTATAACACAATGACAGATCATTTAACCTTTTGTCAGAAAGAATTATGATGATCCCTTTTATATATTTTGTTACTTTGACAGGGGCCAGAGTCATAGCGAGACATGCTTTCAGACATCCCACATGTGTCTACAATACAGAGATCCTGGCTCTATCTGGAAGTCACACAAACTGTACAAATCTCACTCAGCAGTTCTCTACCCTGAGTCTGGGAAATACAGACACTTACACAGAGAGGAGCATGTACAGAACACCTCACTCACAGAGGTAAGCATTGGTAAGGGAGACAGACAGACAGACACCTACAGACAGACAGACACCTACAGACAGACAGACAACTACACAGAGAGGAGCATGTACAGAACGTCTCACTCACAGAGGTAAGCATTGGTAAGGGAGACAGACAGACAGACAGACACCTACAGACAGACAGACACCTACACAGAGAGGAGCATGTACAGAACACCTCACTCACAGAGGTAAGCATTGGTAAGGGAGACAGACAGACAGACACCTACAGACAGACAGACACCTACAGACAGACAGACAACTACACAGAGAGGAGCATGTACAGAACGTCTCACTCACAGAGGTAAGCATTGGTAAGGGAGACAGACAGACAGACACCTACAGACAGACAGACACCTACACAGAGAGGAGCATGTACAGAACGTCTCACTCACAGAGGTAAGCATTGGTAAGGGAGACAGACAGACAGACAGACACCTACAGACAGACAGACACCTACACAGAGAGGAGCATGTACAGAACACCTCACTCACAGAGGTAAGCATTGGTAAGGGAGACAGACAGACAGACACCTACAGACAGACAGACACCTACAGACAGACAGACACCTACACAGAGAGGAGCATGTACAGAACGTCTCACTCACAGAGGTAAGCATTGGTAAGGGAGACAGACAGACAGACACCTACAGACAGACAGACAGCTACACAGAGAGGAGCATGTACAGAATGTCTCACTCACAGAGGTAAGCATTGGTAAGGGAGACAGACAGACAGCTAGACAGAGAGTAGTATGTACAGAACACCTCACTCACAGAGGTAAGCATTGATAAGGGAGACAGACAGACAGATAGCTACAGACACACAGATAGACAGCTACACAGAGAGGAGTATGTACAGAACGTCTCACTCACAGAGGTAAGCATTGGTAAGGGAGAGAGACAGACAGGCAGACAGACATACACTAACTTATACAGAGAAGAACATGTATGGGACATTGCAGAGGTAAGAGAGAGAGAGACAGACAGACAGACAGATGGACAGATAGACAGCTATGTACAGAACATCTCACTCACTAAGGTAAGTATTGATAAGGGAGAGAGACAGACAGACAGCTACAAAAAGGAGCATGTACAGAGCATCTCACTCACAGAGGTAAGCATTTATAAGGGAGACAGACAGACAGACACCTACAGACAGACAGACAGCTAGACAGACAGACAAACAGACACAAACACACACAAAGAGAAAGAAAAAGTCTCGGAGATTGCTTTATTTCATGTAATGTAGGGAATTGTATTGGGCTTCACAGAGATAATGTAGGCAAAGGGAGAAATCTCAGAAGTGCAGATTCTTAAAATGCTGGTATTATTGTACATTTATGATGTATGATATAACATTAATGATTACATCGCCTTGTATATATTATAAAAGACTGTGTACCTTCACTCCTTAGTAGGTTTTCTATCTTTCAGCTGCTCTCGTCCTGTGTGTTTGTAACGTCCAAAGTAGAGGGGGCAAAGACATAAAAATCTGTTATTCTGTCATAACAAATTAAATGTCTGGTAAACAATCAGAGTGATGGCCCTTGAATCTTAAGAAATTTTTGTAAAATCTGTTTTACTAACCCAATCTAATTAATATTAGATGTTCCAAATCCACTATCGCTTCTCAAACAAGCGATAGTGGATTCTGAATGTCTAATTTTAATTAGATTGTATCTAACCTTATCTATGATTATCAGTAATTTCGGTAATATAATTGATAGGAACTTCATTTAAATTACAAATCATGCACATAGTGAAATTAAAACTATCATGATTATTTGCTTATCTACAGTAATTGAACTTAAATTACAGATCCCTGCTTGAAGTTTGCACACCTTTCAAGACGACAGTCAGAACAAAGATTCGCTACAGCCGACTCAACAAAGACAAGACTGTCCGTCCTGTGATTCGACGATTTTACCGTCTGGACTGGGGGGCCTGGATCAGAACAAGATGCGGCCGGGGAAAGAAACGCTACCAAAAATCCTCAGCACGGAAAAAACGCCTGGATCAACACGTGTTTTGTAACAAACAACAAAATAAACTATTGGACCAACTGGTCACGCCGTTCTGGAGGAAAAAAATGTACTTTGTGGACGATCCTTATGAACCTTATCACAAGCGACACCATCTCTCTAGATATTTTAAGGAAAAACCTGTATTTTTACCATGATTGTTGAATGTTGGTTTATTGAAGAAAATAAATTGATTGTGCTTATATTATCGTTATCATTAGCATAAAAATGTAAGTTTATACATGTATGTTACTGAAGCTGCACTATGTGCAACTGCACACTATGTGCTGAGCCATTAATTCAGATCTTAAAGTCCTCATTAATTCTGTGAAGTTACAGTATGAGATACAAGGCTTACTAGCTGCAATAATGAAGCCCTTTCCGCCTTTTATTAGGGAAGGGGGATAAAAAAAATCATGGAGGGTTCAGGTTTACACGAGATGAAATGTGAAGATAACAGACAGAGCCTTTCTATAACAGTTCATTTCTTGTTCAATGGACAGTTCATGAAAAAAAAGTACGAGCAGGCAAGTGGTTAAAAATTAATGATATTTTTTGTAGGCAAGATTTCAGGTGGAGCGCAAAGAAATTTGAGTGGACAATTAATTTTTTACTGATTTGCAGCGTACACAGATTTATAATACTAAAAAAATAGAGTGGAAAAGGAACAAACAAGATGTGTTTGTGAAACACTATGCGCCCGGCGGCAACAAAGTTCAAAAAATCTATTTTTAGCATATTGGTCACAGTCAAGGTCACAAGGTCATTGACCATGGTGTCATTTGAAAGCACTTAATCGGTGGAGTACGCATCCCAAATATGAAGTCCCTGTCTCCTATGGTTCAAAAGTTATGGCAAAAAGTGTAAAAAGCTATTTTTAGCATATAGGTCACAGTCAAGGTCACAAGATCATTGACCTTGTCGTCCTTTGAAAGGACTTTATTAGTGGAGTATGCATATCAAATATGAAGTCCGTATCTCCTATGGTTAAAAAGTTATGACAGACAGTGGAAAAAGATATTTTTAGCATATAGGTCACAGACAAGGTCACAAGGTCATTGACCTTGGTGTCATTTGAAAGGACTTTATTAGTGGAGTATGCATACCAAATATGAAGTCTCTATCTCTTATTGTTCAAAAGTTATGGCAAAAAGTGTAAAAAGCTATTTTTAGCATATAGGTCACAGTCAAGGTCACAAGATCATTGACCTTGTCGTCCTTTGAAAGGACTTTATTAGTGGAGTATGCATCTCAAATATTAAGTCCCTATCTCCTATGGTTAAAAAGTTATGACAGACAGTGGAAAAAGCTATTTTTAGCATATAGGTCACAGACAAGGTCATTGACCTTGGTGTCATTTGAAAGGACGTTATTAGTGGAGTATGCATACTAAATATGAAGTCTCTATCTCTTATTGTTCAAAAGTTATGGCAAAAAGTGTAAAAAGCTATTTTTAGCATATAGGTCACAGACAAGGTCACAAGGTCATTGACCTTGATTTCATTTGAAAGGACTTTATTAGAGGAGTATGCATACCAAATATGATGTCTCTATCTCTTACGGTTTAAAAGTTTTGGCGAAGGTTAAAGTTGACAACAGACAAACAGACAAACAGACAAACAGATAAACAGACAAACAGACAAACAGACAGGACAAAAACAATATGCGCCCCGAAAAAATTCGGGCGCATAAAAATAATATAGAATTTCCATGGTGCGGGGAAATTGAAATTAATATGATTTGTATAGTTTTGTCTATCTGCAAGCCCGGAAGTCCGATGAACAAAAAAATACTGATATAGCCCAAAACAATACATATTATGAGTAGAGTCAACACAGAGCTCGATAAAGGTGGGATCAGGTACCATGGAGGTATGGGAAAAAATATAAAATTTTATCAAGAAAAGCAAAACCACAAAGAACTTTCATGATTTAGAGATTTGAAATATTCAAGTCATGACTCCTTGATTGATCTATGATATATATAGGACCAAAGTAGGTATTCAAAAAACATTGATTCCTGAACTTAAAGGCAGAGATTTTTTACCGGGTGGTAAATTCCAGGTGAGGGAGGGGCTTATTTTGTACAGGTGTGAATGCCTTAGGGCTAGTAGTCTACCTGTGGCCATCTGTCTCCTAATCACTATACACAGGAAGTGGTTTAATACACAGTGAAATACTCAGATGTTAAAATTTACCTGTTTCGGGGATTTTGGGACAATTTTTAAATTGGTAGTAAAAAGTTTGTTTTTTTTCCATTATGTATTTATTTAATTTTTACTGTTTGAAAACATCCCTACCCATTTAAAATAATTATTATGATACCATACTATAAATTCAAATGTTAAAACAAAATTAATATTGTTTAATATGTTAATGTATGTGATAATTAAAAAAACCTCCTGTAACAACTAAATTAGACTTAATTCATTCATCCCCAGGACTCCATCTATCAATTAAATAAAAAGAGAGTCGTGTTAACTACATTTCACTATGAAAAATTATCTCTGTATGTTTATGATATCCTAACCTTAATAAGACTTTGTCACCATGAGACATGCTAAAAAAGATTACTCGTAAATTCTTATCTGAATAAAAAAGGAAAATATAAGTGACCCATGATTGGAAACATTATTTTTAAATTCAATTACTTCAAACAGTGCTGTTCTCAGCTTTATCAAAAACATTTCCACTTTAGGTTTACCATTATGATTATTTAGCATATTAAAATTAATATCGAGATTTCATTTGAAAAAAAATTTGTGTGCAATAGGTTAATTTACAAAAAAATGCATATTTCATAATAATCCTTTTAAATACTAACGGTATAATATTTAATTCATATATTATCAATATAAAAATTGTGATACAGTTTCTGCATACCATGTTTGGTAAACATCAAAGGATCAAAAGTTAATCAGAATGTCATCATGAGTCCCAATCAAGGTGAACAGGGTATACACAGGGACCAGTAAGTAAATGTCAATCAAGTTCCAGCATCCAATGATGGACCTTCATGCATTGATTGACAGGGCTACCGATGCCAGGTATTGTTGAAGGCGGTGCTTAAAATCTCTGCCTTTAAAGACAAACAATTACCCCTCAGTTATTGTAAATCACGTTTTATTCACAAGACAGCGAGCTCGCGGAAATTTCATTTTCGCCTTTAATAGTAGAGAGTGAAACACCCAATTTTATGTTAACGCCCCCAAAATCTACCTGATTCAAGATCAATAATTTACCGCCTGTCAATCATTAAAAAAACAATAGCTTCTGATTTGATTGACAGGCCAGCTACCCGTGCTACCTGATAGTCTGAGTTTGTGTCTGTTGAAAACGATTGCCTGGTCACGCGTCAAACACTTTCATGTAGCCGCCTTGTATACACGGGGGTTAAAAAGAATCTTTGTAATTTTTTTTCCCAAAACAATTGAGGGTAGATAATTAAAACATGAAAAAGACAAAAACTCAGACTATCAGGTAGCACGGGTAGCTGGCCTGTCAATCAAATCAGAAGCTATTGTTTTTTTAATGATTGACAGGCGGTAAATTATTGATCTTGAATCAGGTAGATTTTGGGGGCGTTAACATAAAATTGGGTGTTTAACAGCAATTCGTGAAAATTATGTTTTGCTAATAAAGAGTCCATGACTATATCGCGAAAATAAGGTGTCGCGGAAATTTAGTGATATATTCAGTACCTGTGCAGACAACAGTTCACATCTCAACTGATAGGTTTACATAGAAGTATGAAATGCATAAAGGTCTTTAAAAAGTCTATCATCTAAGGTAGATGTTCTTTATTCTGTATAATGAAAATGTAACTCGATAAGCTTTTTGGCATAATTATAATTTACAATTAATTTGAGGTTGCTTAGAACTTATATAGCTATAGGGAACTAACGAACACGCGCGCGCCGTCATTATATAGCATTATCTAATCATTGTCAACCCTAACCTTGATCTAAATATATTTATAACAGGTTGAAATAAATCTAAAATTAGAATCGTACGATTCCTTTTCAAACACGCTTTTCTATTTCTACCTGAGTGAGTAGGAATACTTGTATGACCGGTTAGCTGGTAATGTTAATAAAGGTGTGTTCTTTGTGTTTTGTCATTCGAGCTCAAGACTGCGTGCATTTCAGTCACAATTCGCCCCCCCCCTCCCTTCCGTAAGCTATTTCTTGTGTTGACGTAATATTAATGTTTGTGAATGTTATTTAAGCATTTTATTAAATGTTGAGCAATGTCGTCAATTAAATGCGCAGGTCTTGGAGCTGCTACCCATAATACAGGTGTTATGTTTTGATTTTTGAATGAGGGTATAAATATTTTATGTTCGGTTGAGATTGTTCGAATTAGAACATAAATTTAGTAACACGGTGACTTAAAGCTGACATGAACTCTTAAAAAGGCATCATTTTTCATCTTTGTACGACTTACTACATTCCTGTACGCCTTTGTCCCCATATTTCTTCAATTCCGCCATATTTAATTGAAAATTTTTGGCCACCTGTACCTGTTATATAAAGCCTGGTGCATTTGTTTCACTTGAGTGATTTTCTAGCCTGGCTGTCGACATGTACACATCTCCGATAGCATAGTTGTCATAAACCCATAAACTGAACAAATACATGTTTTAAAAGTTAACAAAAACTACAACTATACTGAGAAGTAAATTATTTTTGAATGCATTTGCTGCAATTTAGAAAAAATAACACGGAAAACAGCAAAAGCCGTTTGGATATGCACGCATGCAGGTCGAGAATACGCATCGAACGCAATGATAAAGATATTTACCTGAATACTGCTATCGTTACAGGGATGTGCACATGTTGAAAGAAATATCCTATTTTACTTTTATTGAAATATGCATCTCAGAATTCATGTAATCCATTGCTAACTGAACAGTAAAAAATTGTCACCACATAGCACTTGGACACACGTGGTCCACGACGATAGTCTATTTGGTCAGGGGAAATTTCAAAGGTGGAAAGCTTACTAGTATTTTGGTTGACTGAAAAAGTGCAATTTTTTTTTTCAAAAATAAATATTACTCTTGTCTGTATATGTAAATGTAAACAAAATTTATAAACATGGCTTAATTACATTAAATTTATTTTATAGCATGCAATATTACGAATCATTCATCCTTTGACGAGATTCTCCCGTGAGAGGGGGGGGGGGGTAAAAAAAAAAATGC